TCTTGCAAACGGCCACACCGAGCAATAAACGTTCCCTACAACGGTGCCAATGATCGAGATTGAACCATGATGTTCTGCAAGCGACTTAACGCCAAACAACGACGGATATTGCTCCTGTGATCATTAACTGTGAAGCATTTGTTTCTGGGTTGCCATTAGGTTCCCTGTGAGATTTTAAGTGATCTTGAAATATATTTTTCAGAGACAGACTGTGGCAGTCTTTGTTTCGAAATGTAAACTAAGCAACAAATAATTTAAATATTTCAAATAGCCAGAGTGTGAGTGAGTTTAGTTTTACGCCGCACTCAACTATATTCCAGGACCTAGATTTTCGAAGTTCTCTTAGCGCTAAGAAAGTCGTAAGTCCCATACATTAACATTAACTTACGACTATCTTAGCACTAAGAGAGCTTCGAAAATCTAGGCCCTGTTATATGGCGGCGGTCTGTAAATAATTGGATCTGGACCAGACAATCCAGAGATCAACATCACGCAATTGGGATACGATGACATGTATCAACCAAGTCAGCGACCCTGACCACCCGATCCCGTTAGTTGCCTCTTACGACAAGCATGGGTTACTGAAGCTCAATTCCAACACAGATCTGCACGGGTTCAAATAGCCAGAGTATGATTTAGTTAGTAAGACTCTAATATCCTTCCTTGTCGTGAAAAGTGTCCTTTCATTTGTATGCTTGTGTTTGCTTGTTGTTTAACGCTGCACTCAGCAATATTCCAGCTATATGGCGCCGGTATGTAAAACTCGAGTCTGGATCAGACAATCAAGTGATCAACAGCGTGAGCATCGTTCTACGTAATTTGGAAACAATGACATGTGTCGACCAATTCAGCGAGCCTAACACACTTAAGCTTATACACGAGCAAACCGTTTTCACCATCCCGTTGTCCTTCCGCCCCATCTACATAGGCGGATCCAGAGGGGGGGTGCAGGGGTGCGCACATACCCTTTTGTGCTGAAAGTTTGTTAAATGACCATTGAAACTCGGGTGAAAATGAAGTGTGCACCCCTCCTTTTCTCAATAGTGTGCAACCCCCCCACCCCTTCTCAAAAAGCTGTCACACATTCCTTACTTTCGGTTCAATCTCTTTATAACGAGAATTTGTTTTCCTCCTTCAATTGACACAAATAGACTCTCGTTGTATCGGGATTGGCAGAACAGAAACTGTGAATGTGAAAGGACAGATATATGTTTCTTTAACTTGTCGCATTTGTTTCGATGTAACTTCAGGTCGTTGCATGTGACAGTGACGAGCAGAAAATTCTCTCCGGAACAGATAAAGTCAAAATATAATTATCTTTCTTATTTGGTCGTACTAAAAATCACGGGGTAATTTAAATGCATTGAGATATAGTTGATTTTAGATATCCTGGCTCAATTTCAGATTGATAGATAAATAAATCCCTTTGGGCGATTTTTTCTACATAAGCATTTGATTATGAACTACTTTCAGATAGTGATAATATCAGGTGCTCTTGAAAATGTCAGTATATTCTGTCACATTACTTAGGGCAATATATAATTAATTTCTGAGAAATACTGGTACTATTTTAAGTCATTCGACCTGGCAGAACTTCCACGCTTGGGTGTACAGTTATGGATGAGAAGAAGGTATCGATCGGAGGTATGCGAAGTGAAGCTTAAAAGAACACAACGTGATCAGTTATGTAGGCAAATGTCCGTCTTTGTCCGCACACCATGTAGGTCTTCTCATTGGTAGCGAAATAGTCGGTGTCACGCTCTAATTACAATGTCGAGCAAATGACTTCGTTAGAAACTGACACTGTTGTGCCAGCATCTACACCAAGGCAGAGATCAGTCATCGCGACTGCTCCACAGACGAGGAATGATCTTCTCATTCCTTCTGATCATTGCCTAAGATTCAGCGCTTTCATTATACTTCTCTTAGGCCGTTTCTACAGCATTACAAATACACACTAATATACACATGAAGATTAATAAAGCAACATCTGAACCCAAGCAATACTGTTACATAGGCCACCATACCCTAGCAGAATGGGGAGGGATAAATGTTATCAATATAAAGTACTGCCATCGTGCCACATTTTTGTAACCATCCACTTGCCAGTCATCCGATAATATGTATGACTTCATTGTTTTTAAGTTGTTAGCGTCCATTTGTAGAACAAAGCCATCGAAACGTTACCATGGCCTGCAAATAAGCCTCAATATGAAGCCCATCAAACATTGTTGGAACTCTCTTGGTGATGCTCCTGTTCAAAATCTGCAGGAACTGACCCAGGCACGGCATGAGGAGGGGCAAAGAATTACGATCTTGATAATTCGATACTTAATTGCCAGTATGAAGAGAGCGGCACACGTTAACCGTGCAAGGGGTGGCTGTATTAGGTACTGGTGAGGTCGCCAGTGTTGGTTCATACAATCATAACAATCATTATTTATATATTGTAAGTGATTTCTAACTTTGTACGAGGTATATATATCCAAATATGAATTAAGGAACTGCCTAGGTAATGCAAGTACACAGATTTGTCACATGTTTGCAATATTTAACAATCTTTGAACAATCAATAGTATACGAAAAATAAAGTAATGAACCTATCATTTTGTGGTCCTTTGGAAACCGTAGTTTGATTCAAGCAGAATGATTCAAAGCCAATACATAACTGGACCACATGTCCTATATGTGGAGGGAGTGTTGGATGATTTAGCAAGTTTTCACAGGATTGCCGTATCCATATTACCGGATTAAACTGTTAATGTGGCAAATGCCAACTTCGACAAAAAGGTAAACATATTTTTTAAGTCCAAGTAAAGTCCAAGTTTGTATTTTATGTCTCACATACGAGATAAGCAGGCAAATGTATATGTATTTAATTAGTAAGGCGGTCCGAGATATCGCCACATACGAGATAACGGTTTCTACTCTATTATTAATAAAACCGACAAAACCCTTTTCCCAACCATAAGTTTTTCAGGTACTCAGAGGCCAGTGTACGATTCCGACTATATTGCGGGCACCTGTTTATGAATCACTGTCAGATTATTTCTATATTTATCACATGTTCTAGCATGTTCTAACATCTGTTACACTATACTTGTGGATCAATTCCAATCAGACAACAATGATTAATTCACCATCAATACATTTGTTATGTAAATACTTTCACTGGTATATGATCAACTGTAACATGTCGCTCAAAACATGCACATGTCGCTGATGTAGCCAGAGACTGTGTACATACATTTACAGACATCGACTGACAATGGCTAAAAATACAAGGGCGTGTTTTGGACGTTCAGGGACGTTCTCGAGACGTGGGCGTTTGTAACGTTGCACCCAGTATTCTTATGTGCTTCACGAGGTTGACGTCAAATGGACACAAAACAAAAGCACGTTGGTGTTTACTTCCGGGATACTCCACTTCTCATTGGTTGGAACAAAGACTTGACACCTGAAACTTTCTTACTTTCTGACTGCGTCTGTTTCACCTTTCTTTGGAAGACCTTGCGCAATGCATTTTTAATGCTCTGTATACAATTTTCTGTACAATTCAATACTGGGCGTACATAAACTAGCAAGCCTGTTGGGAACTGTCCAACAGCTCATTGAGCAAGCAACAAATGCTCTAGGACGGTCGGGACATAAAGTCCATTTTAAGTAACTGCTCAAGATTAAGTCCACAAAATAAAACGGATATCTTAAGATAAAATATGACATGAGTGATCGACCCTAGTAAAAGCATGATAAAGGCATACTGAGTACTTTAATCACTCTTCCGAACAGGATTTGTAGTACGTTATTAAATAACTATCGTAATAACATTGTACAATACTACTGAAAGTTGAATAACTTTATGATTTACTTCTTTAATAATTCCCAATGATGTTCCCACTGTTTATGGAGGTTTTCAGAAACAATTGATCATCACGTTCAGTATAGTGCTGTAGCATTCACAAATATTCAATAGATGCATACTCAGTACGCTAGTGTAGAATGCAAGCATACTCAGTACGCTAGTGTACTCTCAGTACGCTAGTGTAGTGCTAATGCAAGCATAGTACTCAGTGTAACGCATACTCAGTACGCTAGTGTAGAATGCAAGCATACTCAGAACGCTAGTGTAGTATGCAAGCATACTCAGTACGCTAGTGTAGAATGCAAGCATACTCAGTACGCTAGTGTAGAATGCAAGCATACTCAGTACGCTAGTGTAGAATGCAAGCATACTCAGTACGCTAGTGTAAAATGCAAGCATACTGCAAGCATATTCAGTACGCTAGTGTAAGAATTCAGAGCATGTACTCAATACGCTAGTGTAGAATGCAAGCATACTTACGCTAGTGTAGAATGCAGTACGCCAGTACGTAGAATGCAAGCATACCCAGTACGCTAGTGAAGTATACACAGTGCATAGTAATATAGTACAGCACGCTACTATCGTAGACATAAGTAATCACTATATACCGCAGGATGTCTGGACTGTACGATAAATCAATTAACAATCTCTTATTGCATTTTTCTTCCGGGCAGGATTACTGGTTGTTAGTTCAGCATCTCAAATGAAGATAATCTGAGACATGTTTTACAGCTTAACAGTACATCAACTTTATATCATTAACATTATGAAAAGTCATTATATTTATTTTATCACAAAGGTTTAGAAATAAGGTCGTTATTTGTCCGTCGCTTTCAAAGAGATAACCACGTCTTGCTGTAGTCATTTATAACATTCGCTCAATGTAAAGAAAATGGCGTCATTAATAGAACTGTTTTGTACTTAAAGTGACGCTCAGAAACTGAGGCTGTAAAAGACGATCCATGTAAACAGAGGAATGTTGGAGCATTATGTTATGGAATTATCACATTATCACACAACATGGTTCACACGAAATTACAATGATATGAGTCAACGCCTTACTGTTGTAAATTACACCTGAGCACAACTTACGGAGTACTGATAACATTACCTCAGAGTAACTCAGGAATACACTTACCATTTAAGTGACGAAGTCCATTATGTCAACCATTCTTGATATGGCAGTGTTAGCATCTGTTCCAACATAGTCGTTACAACATCATGTTACACCTGTAACATGAAAGCTATGCCGCCGGATGAGACAGATTCAATTACACAGGTGGCGTTATACGTAGCGTTCTGGGCGCGTCTCAGATCACTTGTTATTTCTGACTATCGATCTGGGTAATCAGATGTGTTGAGACGTGGCTTACACTGTACCTACTGCCCGGCCCTTTGGGGCAGGTATCGTATCATGGTCACATAAATGGGAAAGATGTTATCGCCCTGTGCTGGTTATCGGTTGTTATCTACGTGTCTGCCACCATGACACGGACGCTGGTGTACCGTTAACCCACACTAATACAATTCAACGTTGTTGCTATGGGATGTTTTCCAGATCCCCCCTTCTACAGAATGGACTCGCCTATCAGCATTGCACCAACATAATGTGTATGATGCGACCTCCGACATTCCGGTACCCGTATGTCGACACCTGATCTTATCTACCTCGGGTGTTTTGTATACGCGGGTATTTTAACAAACGCCCAAGGAAATTTCAAAACATAGCCATAACTCACTACTGCTGATATCAGATGACCTCTTCTCGCGCCACAGTTTAAACCTTTAAAATCAAACATGGCCGCCCTGCGACAACATCTGTGGTTGGGTGGCCTAACCTTGTGGGAAATATGTTGGCTCGTCACATGGAAGAGTCACGCTCTATTCCCAGTGTGGGTGTAATGCGCGAAGACCATTTCTGTTGACCCCCGCCGAGATATGACGGGGATACGCGGCTTTGATCGCCACTCACTCACTCGCTCACTCACTCACTCCACTCATTACCTTTCGAGACTCTCTTACTCTAAGGGGCGGTGGGGTAGCCTAGTGGTTAAGGCGTTCGCTCGTCACGCTGAAGACCCGGGATCGATTCCCCACATGGGTACAATGTGTGAAGCCCATTTCTGATGTCCCCCGCCGTGATATTGCTGGAATATTGCTAAAAGTGGCGTATACCCATACTCACTCACTCACTCACAATGACATACTGGATCGACATTAGATTACGAGGTTCAACCTGACCGTTGTACAAATCAACATCATATGATAAGGCACCAACAACGCCCTCTCCATAACAGCGTCATAAACATCCAGACAATGCATATTGTCTAAATAACCCCAGTGAGATCTTAAGAAGCAAATAAGCCTCTATAGCTATCACATATGAAAATCTAAATACTTCCATTATTGTCTACAAAACTGAAAACATGGGTTAGACAAGGTTCTACAACTATGACCTTTCATTTTTAAATGAATATCCAGATATGGCAATACAAACATATATGACTTCGAGACATCAAAGAGATTTCCCATGTTACGGCAAAATCGTTATATATTTACATAATAGAGATCATATAAGTAACTTCATCCTATACAGTTATGCCTATAGTCCCTGTATGGAGCAAACAACCTTGGCTAATAACCAGATCTCGGCAATGTCAATAAATGGCATGTATGAGACAGGTCACCTGTCCACTGACATGTGAGCACTTCCTGCTTGTTTAGCATCTCCAGATGACCAGGCTTAGCAGTGGGATTAACATACAATCAGCAGCAAATGATCCTTTAAACCAATAGGATTGGATCAGAAACGTCTCAGAACACCTCGTTATTTGCAATATAGACGTCAATGCAAGTTAATATACAGGAATCAGGCCGATTCCAGTTGGTGTAAAGGCCAATATAGCTATGGGAATGCATAACGTGACCCAACACACACGCCCAAATACAGAAACTACCAATATCAGTTCAGAGTTTTATATCTGTAATCCACAATCTAGGAAGAAACAATTTTACCAAACAAATCAATTTCATGTATAATTCAGTAGTTACCTGTTTATATGATCAATTTTGGATAATTCTTCCAAGCTACCATGTGATAACCCCAAGAGACTGTGTTGAAGACTAGTATGAAGGACAAATGCACGTCCGTTATTATCTGATCCATATCTATCCACATTCACGACAACCCCTGCAACTCTGTGTCAAAATGGGATCAAGAGCAAAAATGTGAAAGAATGTAAACACTGTAATCGACATTGCTGTGACTATAATTGCCATATTATCTTGCACTGTGAATCTTTCATGTCCTACAGAAATAATTTCTTCTCCTGCCTGATTGATAAACTTGATGTTGATATATATGTGAAAATAGATATGCTTGACGACGATAATATGCCGTCATTGTTTCTCGGCGCAGATATTCATGACTTAACTGAAAAATTAACTATGATACATGGGAATACACAATACTGTCATTTTCCCACTTCGTATGGAATCTAAAGAAGCATCTGATGTACATCTACTGAACACAATCGCCCTATTGCTCACAAATTGTACATTGTAAATTATCTATTAATTTGCTACAAATACTGTTTCATTTTGTTTAATGCAAGTGATGTATTGTAAATAATGTATTGCCTTTGTATGATATTCGGATTCAACTCTGGAGGAAATAAAGACATTCATTCCTTCATTCATTCCTTCAGTCATTCATTCCTCCATTCATTCATTCATTCCTCATTCATTCATTCATTCCTCTATTCATTCCTCTATTCATTCCTCCATTCCTCCATTCATTCCTCATTCATTTATTCATTCATTCCTCATTCATTCATTCATTCCTCAATTCATTCCTCCATTCATTCCTCCCTCATTCATTCATTCATTCATTCCTCATTCATTAATTCATTCATTCATTCCTCCATTCATTCCTTCATTCATTCATTCCTCCATTCATTCCTCCATTCCTCCATTCATTCCTCCATTCATTCCTCCATTCATTCCATCCATTCATTCCTCATTCATTCATTCATTCATTCCTCATTCATTCATTCATTCCTCTATTCATTCCTCTATTCATTCATTCCTCTATTCATTCCTCTATTCATTCCTCCATTCATTCCTCCATTCATTCCTCATTCATTCATTCATTCCTCCATTCATTCCTCCATTCATTCCTCATTCATTCATTCATTCCTCCATTCATTCCTCCATTCCTCCATTCATTCCTCATTCATTCATTCATTCATTCATTCCTCCATTCATTCCTCCATTCATTCCTCATTCATTCATTCATTCATTCCTCCATTCATTCCTCCATTCATTCATTCATTCATTCCTCATTCATTCATTCATTCATTCCTCATTCATTCATTCCTCATTCATTCATTCATTCATTTATGCCAAAACTGTATGACATGTAATGACAAAACCAAGAGATACCTCATTATAGAAGAAAAACATATTCTTCAAGACAGTCAAGTAATTTCAACGTTAGTTGAGATCACAGAATATGTCAACTTGGTTCTACACTCTCTGACATAGAATTTTTGTGTGATCAGTCATGAGCATCAGATGCCTCGAACAATGGCAGTATGTCTCACGTGGATGCTCACTCACTGGCTGCACCACACAAAGTTTCTCTTCAATAATCTCTTCTCATTAAAACTGCATTGTTTACTCTTTGACAGCCAAAGACTGGCATTTGTCAGCTGTACACCATTCTCGGCGGCAACAGTGTCGTTGGGTTGAGATAATTAGTTGGTGGGGATGTGCATTCTCTCGTGTCCTGTCTGCGTGTGAATCGATGGAAGCACTGTTCGCATGACCGTTTTTGTTGTGCGTTTTGGGAAATTGGCGATAGATGACATGCATCAAGACACACTCAAGGCTTTGTGTAAAAATTTACATTTAGAATTTTCCAGATCCTGTTATTTATTCAACAAATATTTCACGGTGAATATTAAATTGTTTATTCTGAATATGTAAATGCTGCTATTGAACAAATAACCCCCTATGAAAGTTGAATTGTAGATTCAGAATGTCAAGATATATGCTACTATTCAATACATATCGCCCTGGAAATATTGAATTGTATACTCTGGATGTAAACATGCAGCTATTCAACAAATATCGCCCCATGGATACTGAATTGTATATTTTAGATATGTAAATGCTGCTTTTCAACAAATATCGTGCCAATATTGAATTATAGATACAGAATAGGTAGACGGATATGTTGTTACAATTATCGCCTTGTAAATATTGAATACATTGTATATAATAAATATATGTGAAATGTTGAATATTTAGATAACGGTAGTTAACAAACATCGTTCTGTGAGTATTAAATTATGCTTCGAATACCGTTGTACTTATGTAAAAGTTAATAGATATGGATCGGCTTGTAGTTTACGATGATCACATATAAATATCCACTCGACAGAAGATGAGACAAATTGATGTATTTAGTACAATATTAGAATCAGCAGAAACATGGTTATCGTGAATTTAAAAATAGACTTCGTTAAGTTCCTCATGCTACATTCTGGAATCGACTTAATTTAATTTAATAAAATCTTAACAACACTTTCTTCTGGAACGCCAATTCTATGATGCTGTTCAATTCAATTCAATTCTTTATTACAGAAGTGTAGGCCATCGGCCCATAACTACATAGGTTACATTTACACGGCAAAACATGGTGTGTACAGTATAGATTGATAATGTTTAACATCTTAGATACATTGCATGATAGATAAAGCTAGCTAAGTTATTTATAAGTTTACAATCTGATGATGACATGAGGAGTTTGAATTTGGCTTTACTTGGGTTGATACAATAGGATTTAGGTAAATGGTTCAAGCGGAGCTGTTGGCATTTGGAACACACGAGGAGAAGATGGTATTCATCCTCAATATAACCTTCATCGCACTGTAAACATAATCTATCATTTCTATCTATATTATAATACCTTCCAGATGAAAAAACATCTGAACTGAGCGAGTGCTACTCTAAACTTTTTAATGTTAATCACATTTAAATGCAATTCCCTGGACAATGAAATTTTGAAGTAAGAATAAAACATAGATTTGCTGCCATTTTGAAGTGAACTATACCAATTGATGCTGTTGAGTATGTCATGATCATAAAACTTTCCTGGCTGCTGGTTCCCTGCATGCAGTATTAGCCTGTCTGACTATAAGATTTGTCAGTTCCTCAAACACGAGGCACCAAACATAATTTAAACCTAAAATTGACTCTAACTTGGTATGATGTTATTGCAGGATGAACATTCAGCGATTGAGGCCAAAATATTGTATGAAGTATAAGTGTTGACCAAGTAACTGAATACTAAAACTATATCTCTCAGTTCAACACAGAAACCATATCGTAACGCCCGAACATTGCTTTCATAAGAACCACACTGCCGTTCTGGAATCTCCAGTGTATTATAGTATCGATTCTAATTCGTTAAATGTCATGGAATCATTCGCTTCAAATCGTCTTAAG